GCTAGTGTTGGATCCAATAGGAAAGATTTATTTTATAAAGAATGCTAGAGGTTATCATGAATGCAGAATTGCATCCCCTAATTGGTATCTTCAAAAATGAAGAGAAACCATGCAACTAGAGTTGGTTAATGATTTCATTATTTAGTCAAAATAATAATTATCAAATAGACAGCTAGAGGAGTCATTATAGTAAAAGCCAGTGGGGAGTATAATTTAAAGAAGGGATCAGAGTGAGAAAACGTTAAGTAAAGCTTGAAGTAAATAAAATAGCGAGCTGTAACACACAGTGAATAAAAAAATACACTCACAAAATAGTCCAGCCAGAAGGACTTTTGGTGATAATGAAGCCTACAGTAGTTAAGTGACTTGGCTGAGTCATGAAGCCAACCAACAGGGAACTGAACCCTTCAGGTCTTCCTGTCCAGTGCTTCTCCTAATAAACTGTATAGCCTCTGAAAGCACACTGTCACTTTGCCTTAGAATTATTAGTAGAAAAATCCATTTTCCTTATTTATTTTTCAATTTTTATATTGAACTGGTGCCTTCAAATTATTCAAATAAGCCACTTAAAAATCACCCTTCAAGGAATAATTGAAAATTATACTCACATGATAAGCACACCAAGATATTGAGAGCTTTGAAACCATGCCCACAATTCTCACCAAAAAAAAACAAAACAAAACAAAAAAACAACCTTTGGACTATTTTCCTATAATAGAACATGCATTTCCTCAAAATTCCAAAAACTCAGAAAAATAGCTTGTTAAGGAGAGTTATAATGACTGAAGACTTCTCTCTGAATTAAACAGTGTGTGATTGTTCTCCTGAATAATTTACAGAGATTTGGGGAGAATGTATTAACTTATTCATTACAGAAAGAAGGAGGAATATTAAGTGGTATTAATCTTTAAAACAGAAACTAAGCAGGGATGCATCATCTGTGAGTTAGAAACCCAGACCAGAGTTGATAAAATGCTTATGCTTAAACATTGATGAATATAAGAAAAAGCAAGTAAAGGATACAGATTTAAAATGCATTATTGAGTGGAAATGGAAAGAGAAAAAATTTTTCAAGAGTCATTCTTGTAGTTGACACTGCTGTTACAGCATTTTGTTGATGATGGAATGTAAAACAAAAATTCTACATAACAGCAGATGGGACATTTCTATTTATATGGCCAGAGTCATCAATTTATTGTGCTGTGTCATAGAAAAAGAAAGTATTGATCATAGCAGTCAACTCTGAAGAAAATCCTCAACATAGAATTAGAGGGTCCACTGGGAAAAACTAGGCTCCTGCTTTGAGACAGGTGAGGTCTTGGTAGTTCCTTTTGTACATGAGATAAAGAGCCCAAAAGTGGCTTTTATAAGAGGCCACAGGTACCATGAAATATCGTAACACCAAGAGAAGCCAATGCTTCATAGTTACCATGTTACCTGTTGACTTGCTCTGTGTATATTACTGAACCCATACAATTTGCTGCATTGAGAATTTTTTTGCCTATATTGCAAAACATTAAGAATTTACAAAATCAACAGTCATTTTCAGAGCATAACTATGCATCTTATGTTACCTGTGAATTTGTTTAATGTGTAAAATAAAATGTAATGTCAACAAGAAATAGCATTATATGGGCACCAAAGTATCTATTGTTGTCAATAGTCCTTGGACAGTATATTAAAGTGAATCATTGAAAAAGACAGAACTGTTCCACTAAATATGTAAAAAAATGATTAATGATAAAATAACTAAATACCAAATTTTTGGTTTTTTTCTTCTTTAAGAAAATTCCCAAGATGAATTACCTAAAAATATTTGCAACCACTAGGATAGTAAGAAAAGACTTATGATTACACTTCACTGCCTTTGTGAACTCCTAGTAATGAGTCAATTTGAGTAAAATCTGCACGTAAGACCTCAACAACTGGAATGTCTGGCTCAGGGAGTGTTCATCTTTATTAAACGTCTGATGGTCTTAGGTCTGAATATAAACCCCATTCAGGTGCTGTTTATTATAGATAGCTCTTTTGAATTAACATATATTTGTAGTCACCACTATGAATGTCAGTTATCATCAGTTTATTTCATAGCCATAAAAATGATCCCAACTTTTCAAATCTACTTTCTAGTAACTAAATCTCTGGTCCCAGTTTATTTTCCATTTCAAAGTTAAAGTCAAATGTAAAATCTATTGTCACTGTGAGTGTTCCAGTTAGCTGAAAATGTTCTATGCTCTGTCCACTTTTAAATGTTAAAATGTGGCTTAGAAATCCAAAGATAGTACATCTACAATAAAATTATAAATTTGATTTTATGAAAGTTACAAATGTATGCTTGTTTGTCACAAAAATATTGTGAAATAGATAAAGAAGGGTGTTACTATTACTGAAACTCAAAAAGGTTGGGTCATTCTCTAATTTTTCTCTCACAATTCTCATTCAACCTGTCAGTAAGTCCTGCTGCTTCTACTCCCAGGAAGAACCCAGACTCCAGCCACTTCCTTGGGCAGCCACTTCCTGAGACCCTCCATCATGTCTCACCTGGATTTTACAACATCTGGCAAATAGTGTTCCTGTTTCAAGTCACTTCTTCTATCAGTAACAAGAGCATTTATTTTAAAATGTGCACCAGATCTTGTTACTCTTTTGCCCGAATCCTGCGGTGAATCCCATTTCACTTAGCTTAAAGGTTGAATGCAGCTCTAAACACGATGACAAGGCCCCACTTGCTCTTCCCTTCTGTATCTCGTACCTTACCTCCTACTCGTCCCCGCTTTTCTCACCTTGCTACAGCCACCCTCATCTGCATCCTATCTTTCAAACACACAAGGCATGCTCCTGCTTCAGATGCTGGGAACTGGCTTTATCTGCTGGTCTTGTCTCAAATGTTCACATGACCTCCTTCTCCATCTACTTGGAATCGCCGTTCATTTCTTACCTATCTGGCGAAACCTATCCTTACCATGTGTTTACAATTACAACTTTAGCCAGGCAAATTGTGTGCACTTGTTCCCAGCTACTTGGGAGGCTGAGGCGGGAGAATTGGTGAGCCCAGGACTCTAAGTCCAACCTGGGCAACATAGTGAGATGTCATCTTTAAAAAACATAATTTTTTTAATTGCAACTTCCCTAACACTCTCTTGTCTTCATTCCTCTATTTTATAAATCATGACACTCATGATTTGTTTGCTCTCAAATCCCCCCCCCACCTTCTGTTAGAATGGAAGTTCATAAGGAAGGATTTCTATCGATGTATCCTGAGTACCTAGAACAGTTTCTAAAACACATCATACTCTCTATAAAAATAAGCTAAATAAATAAATTTTAAAAACATACATGAGAGATCAAACACATATTGTTTTGTCTTCCTAATTGGGTTAGAAGAACACTGATAGGCTCTGGGAGCACCCTTTACTTGGGATTAGTCATATAACCCAGTGAGCCAAAAGATAACTGAGAAAGTGAAGAATATCCAGTTTCCTGCAGTGGTCTGTAAAAATCTAACAGGTTAGTATTTTCAATATGTGCAATGTGGTGCTGAGTTTAGTCATGGCCCCTGGATTAAACAGCATCAGAAAAAGACTTCATGTGTCTTATACAGTAATGTGAGGACAAAGTAGAATGGAAATTGGTGGCCAATCTGGGATTTCATTAAATGTGTCAGTCAGGTAAAGAAAGGAAATTTCGTTAGCCCAGAGTACATTGCTCATCACATGCCAAGAAAATATGCAGAGATACTTCTGGTCAAATGGCTCTGCCTTCTCCTGGGTTAACAGGGAATCCCAGGGTCACAGCTATGGAAAAATGGGCAGAGGTAGCCATAACAAAAGATTAGGAAATACAAACCAGTTATACCCATTGTTATTCAAAATTGACAATGCACTCCCATTTATTATAACACCTCAAACCAAAAATAAAAAAATAAATGAAATACTAAGATTATATTCCTACAAAGGATTCAGGGAACCCTGCATTCTAATTATCATGGGAATTATATTTAAAGTCTCTCCGACCCCTGGCTCTTAAAAACATTTAAACAGAATTTTCAAATGTATTCTCTGAATTTTTTTTTACTTGAAACTGAATAAGAAAAATGATCATTTGCCTAATGGAAAGACATGACCATTTAAAATCAGCTTTCTGATTCAAATAATGCTTATAATCAAAAGGATGTCTTTTAATGTTTAGAAAATGACGTAAAATGGATTTTTGTGCTGGCAATACCCCATAGATATTTTCTTAAAGGGATACTGTCCCGATGGAATTTTTTCTAGTACCAACATCTTAATTTAAGCAGGCACATTGTATTAGAAACCTTTACTTACAAAAGAATCAGGGGGAAATTAAATTATTTAAGCATGCCTCTTGGTTTCAGCCAACTACATAAATATGTATCTCAGGACTTGAACTTGTAATAAAGTACAGCCTGCCATTTGTGCAAAATTCTGTCTAATCTTAAAATCTGGCAAATACAATGCATAATTAGAAAATGTGCCTGACTATTGGGAAAATGAAACCCATCCACCTAGATTTAGTCAATTTGTTTGCTCCATATTTCAAGAAAATAAATATTTCAAATTCTTTCACAAAAGGAAGGGAAAGCTGCAATGTACTCTGTTCATAAAGGTCAACTTTCTGTAATAAGAAAAGCATGTGCGTTTTGATGTTAGACAGACTTGGGTTCAAATCCTGGCTCTAACATTTACTTACCATATAATATTTGGGTGTTACTTAACTAAGTCAGTTCCCTCATTCTGTAATATGAGGGAATAATAGGGAGGTACTTACCTCAATGAGTTGTTTATGCTGATTATAAAAGATAATATATGAAAATCATCTTATGCATAGGAAGTACTAAAATAAATGGAAGTTATTGTTCATATTCTTAAAAAATCGTAATAATATGCTAAAATACTCTGGTACTCCAGAAGAAAGGAGAAGGACATACCTGAAAAAAAGGCTATAGTTTTTTTTTATGTTATTTGATCTTTCTTCTCCTTTCTCACTGTTATCTGTCTTCTGGAGAAACTGCTGTCTCTCATCTAATGATGAGAATGCCTTCTCAAGACTTCTCATCACCACCCTCCTAACTTCAACATAGCTAATTAATTAACATCCAGATCAATTGACCTAGTAGTACATCCCTTTGATAATATAATTTCTCATGTGAAAAACTTTGGTAATTCCCTATTATATACCAAGTAAAATTGAGACTTCTGAATTTAACATTTAAGGCTCTCAAAAACTTTGCACACATTGCTTTTTATGTCCTATCTTCTCCAATTTATCTACACACACCATATACTCCAGTTAATCCACTCTACTCAGTCTTCTAACCACATTTAATAAGAGGAGCTTAAAAAGAATAAAACAGAAATGCAATAAGGGTGAGCTATTCTTGGTACCCAGTTTAAGGGACATATGTCTAAATTTGATAGCTACTTACAATTTATTTCCCCTACAAAGTAATTCCATTTAGCTCCAAGTTCTGCTTCCTTTTTGTGTTAGGGAACTGTATAGTGTCCATTAGAAATTGGGCTGTGATTATGTGGTCCAAGCGGGGATGCTTAGAATTGAAGTGACTTCGGCATTGCTGGATACAGAGGACAAACAGAGGTCTAAGTGAGGCCTTTAGTCTAGTTTGAGAAAAACAGCTAACTCTACCTAGGAAAATTTTTCAACACTCATAGAAAGGTGGAAAGGTATCTTACATCAGAAAATGCCAAAATCCCATCAGGACATAATAAAGTCAATAGTGAAAGCTCAATGGGCAAGCATTTCCAGTTTGTGGTCAGGGTGACCACAGGTTTTCTCCTCCTGTCTTTCATGATGTCACTTTGATACACATATTATGAAATATGAGCTTTGTTGTGTAATTTTAGGGGTAAGTCTATTGCAAAGAATATTAGGTGCGGATTCATCAAAACCTTGGTTGACATGCACAGCAGCGTCACTGGCTGCCATGGTGAGGGAAGCTCCCATAAAGTCTCAAAAATCTGAAAAACCAATCAGCCTCTTGATTATTTGTGTTCCCAGGGAAACCAGGAAAGTTTCAGCTCTGATGGGCCTAATTTTGTGCTAACAACACTTAGTGTGCACCTTCCCATCTCTATGTGCCTGTTATACCAACCTCCTTCCTATAAACTTACCCTGTGAAAATCCTTCCCAGCTCAATAGTGTATCCTTCATGAAGCTCCCCTTCCTTCCCTACTCCTTTCCTCTGGCAGAAAATGTTTTCTCCTCCAATTCCTACTGTAGATTGTAGCACAATGTTGTAGTTATTTGTTCTCATGTTACAGCCCATTTTATACCTGAAGCAAAAAAAAAAGGGGGGGCAGCAGGTGGAGGTTTTAGCTTTGTAATTTTATTATTTTTCTATAATTCCTAGGGCCTTATATACAGGAAGCACACAGTAAATACTGGATACAAAAATGAATCAAAACAAAATATGTGTTGGTTTCCCAAGTTGCTTCTTAGAATTAGGGAAGATCATCTTTGAATTGCGTCTTGAAGGCTGACAAAAGGACAATGACAAATTGTAGGAGTGGATATAATAGGAAAGTGTTCTCTAGGCAGAGAGAATTCATGTAGCAGGGCAGGGAAATCAGAAACAGCATGACAGCATGGCGTGGTTGAGAAACTACAATAAATTTAGCATGGCTGGAATGTGCAATATTTGCTTGTATTTCAGAAGACACTAAAGAACAAGTCTGATGTGCTAAGAGGAATTGTGGAAAATCTTTTGTTGATGAGGAAATGCTGGGCCTGTGATCTGTTTTATATGCCTTTGTGGACTAAAATTATCTTAATAAGGCAGTTTACTCAAAAGAGCTTCCTTTGTGGCTATAGATGCTGTATTCTTCCTTCTTTTTATTCTCCTCAAAAATAGAAAATCACTGGCAGCACTCTTAAATTCTAGTCAGAAACTTGAAATTTTTCTGGAGTGGTTAGTTGGGTTACTCCTAAAAATCTATCATAATTCTAGTACCAGCCTTCTCCAATGCATAAATAAGTTTTGTCTTCTAACTATATTTATAAACCAGTTGTCTAGAATTTGGAAGGCAGACCACTATAGAAAAGATGGCAGTTAATTTCCTTGGCTCATTCATGGTCTTCAGACTTTGGGCTCAGTGATTTCTCTCCACTCCCCTATACTATCTCCCACTTTTCTTTCCTTTTTAACTTCACCTTTCACTAAGCCCCCACACTGTTTGCTGAATGTCACATGCACATGTGCATTTGTACAAAGTACCATTTTATACAAGTAAGATTTGGAAATACTCACTTCCAACCCTCAGTATTTTCAATGTACCAATGGACATAGTCAAAGATTTTGTCATACAAATCATTGTAAATATATAGTATCATGAAAGTATATCTATCCTTTTTCACTTGTACAAATTATTGGCACACTGAGACCAAAGTCTTGGAGGCCCAATACTTGTGAATGTCACTGAAATCCAGTAAATATTAGAAAAATATTAAAGTTGTTTTGGGAGAATCCCAGATGGCCAAATAGGAACAGCTCCAGAGTACAGTTCCCAGCAAGAGCAATGCAGAGGGTGAGTACTCACTGCATTTCAAAACAAGTTTTCACTGCCCACAGAAGATTCCCAGGCCAAAAAGCGCCATGAGTTTTCAGCACAGCTGGTGCTGTGGGTTAGCACACAGAAATGCACACAAATCTGGTTGGCCATTTCAACTGGCACCTGGAACGCCTGGGAGACAGAGCTGCCCATTTAACTGAAAGGGAGGGAGCTCAGACAGGGAGCCAGGTGATCTGGATCAGCAGGTGCCACCCCCACAAAACAAGCAATCTGAAACACTCTGGATTGAGAGTTTCGCTGGACCTGGGATGGTCCAGCGCAGTGGGGGGAAAGGCGTCTGCCACTACTGAGGCAGTCTGCAAATACTGAGGCAGTTCACATAGCAGCTGGGCAGAGCCTGTGGCAGCACAGCAACATCTCTGCGGGCAGACTGTGACCAGACTACTCTGCATGGAGCAGAGCATCTATAAAAAATGGCAGCAGCACATTGGGAACTTATAAATAAAGCCAACCTTCCTAGGTCGGAGCACCTGGGAAAAGAGGCGGTTATGAGTTCTGCTGCAGCAGACTAATACATTCCTGCCCAGCAGCTCTGCATGGAACAGTGGTGCTCCTAGCACAGCACTTGAGCTCCTATAAGGGACAGACTGTCTCCTCAAGCAGCTCCCCAACTCCTGTATACCCAGAGACACCTCATAAAGGAGAGCTCAGGCCAACATCTGACAGGTACCCTTTTGAGACAAAGATAACAGAAGAAGAAACCAGCAGTAACCCTTACTGTTCTGCAGCCCCTGAGGGTGATCCTCAGACAAGCAGAGTTTGGAGTGGACCTGCAGAAGTCCTGCAGCAGAAGGGCCTGACTGCTAGAAGGAAAACTAAGAAAGAGAATGAAATAGCTTCAACATCAACAAAAAAGGATGTCCACTCAGAGACCCCATCCGAAAGTCACCAGCTAAAAAGATCACAGGTAGAAAAAGCCATGAAGATGGGAAGAAACCAGCAAAAAAAGGATGAAAACACAAAAAACCAGAACACCTCTCCTCCTCCAAAAGATCACAACTCCTCACCAGCAAGAGATCAAAGATGGATGGAGAATGAATCTGATGAATTAACAGAAACAGGCTTCAGAAGGTAGGTAATAACAAACTTCTCAGAGCTAAAAGAACATGTGCTAATGCAATGCAAAGAAACTAAGAACCTAGAAAAAATAATAGATGAGATGCTCACTAGAATAAAAAGCTTAGAGAAGAATATAAACTATTGATGGAGCTGAAAAACACAGCATGAGAACTTGGTGAAGCATACACAAGTTTCAATAGCCAAATCAACCAAGCAGAAGAAAGAATATCAGAGATTTAAGATCAACTCAATGAAATAAAACGAGAAGTCAAGAATAGAGAAAAAAGAGTGAAAAGAAATGAACAAGGCCTCCAAGAAATATGGGATTATGTGAAAAGATCTAATCTACATTTGATAGGTATACCTGAATGTGACAGAGAGAAGGAATCCAAGCTGGAAAACACTCTTCAGGATATTATCCAAGAGAACTTCCCCAACCTAGCAAGGCAAGCCACCATACAAGTCCAGGAAATACAGACAACATGACAAAGATATTCTGCAAGAAGAGCAACCCCAAGGCACATGATCATCAGATTCACCAGGGTTGAAATGAAGGAAAAGATACTAAGGGGAGCCAGAGAGAAAGATGGGGTTACCCACAAAGGGAAGCCTACCAGACTCACAGTGGATCTCTCTGCAGAAAACCTACAAGCCAGAAGACAGTGGGGACCAATATTCAACATCCTTAAAGAAAGGAACGTTCAACCTAGAATTTCATATCCAGCCAATCTAAGTTTCATAAGCAAAGGCGAAATAAAATCCTCTACAGACAAGCAATTGGTGAGAGATTTCATCACCACCAGGCCTGCCTTACAAGAGCTCCTGAAAGAAGCACTAAACAAGGAAAGGAACAACCAGTACTAGCCACTCCAAAAACATACTAAATGGTAAAGACCATCAACATAATGAAAAAAAAATGCATCAACTAATGAGCAAAACATCCAGCTAGCATCAAAATGGCAAGATCAAATTCACAAATAACAATATTAACCTTGAATATAAATGAGCTAAATGCTCCAATCAAAAGACACAGACTGGCAAGTTGGATAAAAAGTTAAGACCCACTGCTGTGCTATATTCAGGAAATCTATCTCACATGCTAGGACACACATAGGCTCAAAACAAACGGATGGAGGAGATTAACCAAGCAAATGGAGAGCAAAAAAAAAGCAGGAGTTGCAATCCTAGTCTCTGATAACATGGACTTTAAACCACCAAAGCTGAAAAGAGACAAAGAAGGGCATTACCTGATGGTAAAAGGATCGATGCAACAAGAAGAGCTAATGATCCTAAATATATACACACCCAATACAGGAGCACTCAGATACATAAAGCAAGTCCTTGATGGCCTAAAAAGAGACTTAGACTCCCACACAAAAGTAGTAGGAGACTTTAACGCTCCACTGTCAATATTAGAGAGATCAACAGACAGAAAATTAACAAAGATATCCAGGATTTGAACTCAGATCTGGACCAAGCAGACCTAATAGACATCTACAGAACTCTCCACCCCAAATCCACAGAATATACATTCTTCTTAGCACCACATCGCACCCACTCTAAAACTGACCACATATTTGGAAGTAAGTCACTCCTCAGCAAATGTAAAAGAATGGAAATCATAACAAACAGTCTCTCAAACAACAGGCAATTAAACAAGAACTCAGAATTAAGAAACTAACTCAGAACCGCACAACTTCATGGAATCTGAACAACCTGCTCCTGAATGTCAACTGGATAAACAACAAAATGAAGGCAGAAATAAAGACATTCTTTGAAACCAATGAGAATGAAGACACAACGTACCAGAATGTCTGGGACACATTTAAAGCAGTGTCTAGAGGGAAACATAGCAACAAATGCCCACCAGAGAAGCAAGGATAGATCTAAAATTGACACCCTATCATCAAAATTGAAAGAGCTAAAGGAGGAAGATTAAAAAAAACTCAAAAGCTAGCAGAAGACAAGAAATAACTAAGATCAGAGCAGAACTGAAGGAGATAGAAACACAAAAAAACCCTTCAAAAAATCAATAAATCCAGGGGCTGGTTTTTGAAAATATCAACAAAATAAGCAGACCGTTAGCCAGATTAATAAAAAAGAAAAGAGAGAAGAATCAAATAGATGCAATAAAAAACGATAAAGGGGATATCACCACTGATTCCACAGAAATACAAACTGCCACCAGAGATTACTACAAACAACTCTATGCACATAAACCAGTAAACCTGGAAGAAATGGATAAATTCCTGGACACTCATACCCTCCCAAGCCTAAACCAGGAAGTAGTTGAAACCTTGAACAGACCAATAACAAGGGCTGAAGTTGAGGCAGCAATTAATAGCCTACCAACCAAACGTACAAAGAGGAGCTGGTAACATTCCTTCTTAAACTCTTCCAAACAATCCAAAAAGAAGAATCCTTCCCAAATCATTTTATGAGACCAAAATATCCTGATACCAAAACCCAGCAGAGACTCAACAATCATCCATGATGAACATCAATGCAAAAATCTTAATAAAATACTGGCAAACTGAATCTACAGCACATCAAAAAGCTTATCCATTACGATCAAGTAGGCTTCATCCCAGGGATGCAAGGCTGGTTCAGCATATGCAAGTCTGTAAACGTAATCCACTACATAA